TCCTCCCCTCCCAAATTAAGAGGCATTGGATCTTGGGACAGAGCCAAGGGACTATAGTCAGCCACAACCTGAGTGTATTAGCTAAAAGCAAATTAACTAAAGAGATCTCCATACTACCAACAAACTCTTTACCCTATAAGTGACATAAACTTAAGCATGAAACAAAGCAAAACAAAAATCAATAGAAACTTGAGAAGTCAAGGCAATAAAATGCTTCCCAAAACTCCGAACTTCCCCAAAGCCATCCATGGGGTCACAGTGGGGGTGGAAAGCAAAAGATATACAATCAAATTATTCAAAAGGATAACATAATATTGAAAAACAGATCAATAAGGTGCTTAGCAGGCTCACAGAAAATATAACTAAATAGATAATAGGTGCAATGAAACAATAAGGGAGCTTATAGAAGACACTAATAAAACCCCTGCTGAGCTAAATAAAACAATACAAACACGAAATGACCAGTTTAGCAAAAAATTAAGAGTCCATGAAAAAGTTCCAAACAGAAATCCAGGAGATTAAAAATTACACAGAAAGTATGAGTAGAAAAGACCAATGTGAGCTCAGGGGTGCTGGCGCCTGCCTGGCAAGCACAAGGTCTTGAGTTCAATCCCTGGCACCGAGAAAAAAAAAGTGACCAGTGTCAGGGCAGACTATCAGAATGAGAAAATATGAATGCTTTCAAAGACCAATTACTCAGAGAAACCTTAAAAACAAGAGAACATGAGAAACAGATCCAACAGCTGCTACATGACAAAGATTAATCTAAGATGAATTACAAAAAGTGAAAAATCAGAAGACAGCACAAATAAAAAACCCAACTGCAAAAGAAATAATACCAAGAATCAACAAATGTGAATATATCCAATTAAAAAGCTTCTGCACAGTCAAAGAAACCGAGTAGACAACCTATAGAATTTTTGCTAGCTACTACTTAGAGGATTAATATCTAGAATATATAAAGAACTAAAAAACAAAAAAATTATACCCCTCCAAAATAAAAGACTCAATCAAAACACTGAGCAACTAAAATGAACAGATACTTCTTAGAAGTACAAATGGTCTATGAATGCACAAAAATATGCTCAATATTGCTGGCCATTACAGAAATGCAAATTAAAACACGGACATTCAAAAGCCAGTGTGGTGGAACACACCAGTAATCCCAGCACTCAGGAGGCTGAGGCAGGAGGATCGCTGTGAGTTGGAGACCAGCCTGGACTACACAGTGAGTTCCAGGTCAGGCTCAACTACATAGTGAGACTGTGTCTCAAAAAACAAAAAA